TGACCCACTTTCTAGAAAACTTAAGATGTAGAGATATGTCATGTGCTCTAAGAGGAAAATTGCTCCATATCAATTACTCAAAATGAACTTTATCCATCAGCTGATGGTCTGCGTAGAGGCAGCATGATGCGGCTTCCTAATTATAATGAACGGAGGCTACCACAATTACCCCTTAGGTCTTTAATTTTTTCTATATACTCTAACAAGGTTGTTGCTACACAAATACGTGGGTTTATATAAAAGAAAACGGAAGGTTTAACATGAGATAAACTCTATTGTTAGCTGATATCTTTACTTTTTTTGTTACCTTTATCTGAATTTCTTGTTTTTTTTTTCTGAAAATTCTGTATCTTTATGGCTATAAAATTTGAATGTGCTAACCAATATATAAGATCAGTAACACTGCTAATTTATTGGTAACGTTTCGACACTACATTTATGTCCTACGTGTTTTCTTATTCAAGCACATCTGGTCTTAAACATAAAAAACTTTAAAAAAACTCTTTATCCGAAAATATTGTGCCATTTCAGGCTCAGCTATTTGCGCTATATCTTATCTGTAACAGTTTAGTGAATTATATGATGAATCACTATAAAATTGTCTTGTTAAATATTCTAACATGGACTTAATAACGCAGAAAATTCCACTACAATTTTAATCGGAAGTTATATTTTTTAGGCGTAGTATCCGATATCCATAAGAGTTTACAGAATAATATCCCTGCCACCAGGGAAATTATTTCTAAGAAAGGATGGGTTATCCTATCAAAAGAAAGTAAGTCCTTATTAGGAATGAATATCAATGTATGATTTACTCATAGCAATAAAAATAACGGATACCAAGACTGAGAGTCCCATAATGGTACCACTACCACGACTTTCACCTTTTCGTTTACTAACTTCTGTAGTACTCATAAAATTATATTAAAAGGCAGAAATGTATAAAATTAAAGATTTTTAACCAGTTAAAAATGCATTACTGGCTACTGCGTTCGGGTCTCCCAGCCAAGATATAAATCGTTTACATTTAGCACTTGCAAATAAGTTATTTCCGGGATACTGGAGCGAGAGGAAATTCTTTAAAAAAAAATGGAAAAACTGCTAGTCACCATTCCGTCTACTATTCTGAATAATGGAAAACTTTATCAGCTCGATAATTAAATTTGGAAAATATAAAGAGGCAACGGTTCACACCATCGCCAAATTGTATGAGCAAGAGTATTTAACTTGGGATATTATACACTTCCCATTCGGTTAAAACATTATAATGATAGTAGCCACAATGTTATCTTTTCGGTACAGTATATTAATTTATGATTTTTCGTCTGTAAAACATTTTAACCTGAACAAAACTGATAAAAGCTGTAAATTTATATGATACTCTTGTTCAGATTCTGACCAATAAACCCATTGCAGAACACGCTCCATCCCTAAATTTATTTGCATCTTCAGCGATTCTATTCGTCAATAATAAATTGTTATTCATTTCTTATTTTTACCGAGTACACTTCTTCTTTCATAAATCTCAAAAATTAGTTTAATAGGGTTAAGGTCTGGGTTTCTGGGAGGCCAAAAAATATCTGCATCAGGGTTCCATCCAATCCAGCGTCTTACTGTAATGTGCTAGAGCGCAGTTTTATAGAAACCACATGTTTTGTAGAATTACAAAATGTATGTCTTTTAATTAATTTTAGCAACTTGTCATCTAAATATTTATTTTTGGTAAACAATCATTTGTTCATGACTTCATATTGAAAAAGTTGCTGTAATTCGAATAATTATCAACTTTTATTAACAAATTGCGCAAGTTCATGAAAATTCTCGGTACATCCTTCTCCGAAGACCTTGAATTAAGGTTCACTGTCGCAATGATGACGGGTTCGGGGTCAACTGAAGAATGGTGTGCAACTGCAATTGTGTTGACGCAACGCCATTAATGATCTCCTAAAATTTCAATACGTGCTTGTCTTCCTAAGTACTAATTTAAATGTCATTTATTGACTTTAATCAATGGAATTTTTAACATCGTTTTGAAATGAAGGAAGATTAGTTGATCATTGTGTAATTTTTATTGTTTTAATAGTTTTTTTTTTTATAACTCTGGTCATTATTCTCGTGTTCTGCTTAAGAATTATTTCATCAGCTTAGTTAGACACAAATTGTGCTTGTGTGCGTTAAATGAAATTACAAAACACAATAACAAACCATACATTTAATAAACTGAATCAAATTGATCTGATAGTCGATAGTGGTAATATCAATAACTCAGACCAAAGAGGAAAAAAGAAGACGAAAGAAGGAGGTAACTCAACAATTAAAGGCCGAGTGGGGAACTATTTATTTTTATGACATTTTACTAAAACTAGCAGATTTGACTAACCAATAGCTTCTTTTTGATCTTAAGACACTTTTTTGACGCACACACACAGACACACACACACACACACACACACACACACACACACACACACACACACACACACACACACACACACACACACACACACACACACACACACACACACACACACACACACACACACACACACACACACACACACACACACATACACACACACACACACACACACACACACACACACACACACAAACACACACAAACACACACACACAAACACACACAAACACACACAAACACACACACAAACACACACACACACACGACAGACATCATCGCGAAAATAGTCAAAACGAATTCAAAACGTATATATTTAGTTTATCCTCTTAACATATTTATAGAGGTGCTGCAATAGGTTGTACAAAATAACCGGAAAAAGCTTATAATAACTAGATAGGAAAGTCATGTGTTGGACACATCAGATTTTTAATATTCTTATCATAACACCAAAATTTTATATTAAAATCTCAGCAAAAAGTGTAGAATTCAAAAAAGATACAAAAACTTGTTTGTAAAATAGGTAGGTACAGATTATCCTCCAAAAAGTTTACCTCGAAATTAAATTACGATACCTATATTAGGTACAGAGGGTGAATCCACTTTTTTTGACTCTGTATAAAAGTCATTAAAATAAACAACTTAAAAAAAATTTTTTAAACCTTACTATAATTAATTCTAAAATGAATCCAATACGGTCCTGTATAACTGAATAATTATGTTACATTCATGCGTTGTAAAAACCAGATACAAAAATTTACTCTGTTAAGGAAATGTTTAAGTTCAACGTAAAAGAGATACAATTGATTTACCTGTAGTTGTCTACACTTTTCTTTGACTTATCCTACCTGATAGATAAGTGCGCGGTCAAAGTGTTCTTCTAAACCCACTTAATGTTCAATTTACCATACAAAACAGATAAGCACACTACTGACCTACTAACGATATGAGACCACGGCAATATAATAATCTTGATTCATATTCGTAAAAAAAACGAACAAACCAGATAAACATAGACAGACATTAATTCGTTTAATTTTTTAACTTATTAATTCTTAATATTTATTTTTGAGTTTTTTTTAAAGTGATTTGAAAAAGCTGTTTATTTTGACAAATTATATACCAAAAACGTATCAACTCAGGATTTACACGTATTTATACTGATATCGCCGATATCTGTTCATATATTGATGAACTATCTACTATAGGTATTGAGAATAGTAGTTTTTCTACACCCACATGGATATTAGCTTATATACGCACAAATTACAAACGAAAAAGTATGCTATTGCCTTCAACTGAACGAATATATTTCATATCCATTCTAGCATTGAGTAAGGAAGTTATACTCCTTTACTCAATGATTCTAGGTAGTGAGAACACTGCAAAAAAATGAAATCCAGCAATCATCGTTCATATTTTGATCAACCGACTGCTATTATTTTTAAAATTTTAAATAATAAATGACAATTCTGTCAAACTAATTGTCAGTATATTTTTTAGTTATTGAGGTTAAACATACATTAAAATAGGTTTTTCTTGTGTAGAATCGATAAATAATATCATTTCTGTATTTATTTCGTCTATAATTTTAAATTTGTGAATTTAAATAAAACTATATGAAGTGAATTTAATTACCAGTATTAAAGCACCGAAAATAAATAAAAGAATCCTTTGGTCAGCATTCTGGCCTTCCACGCAGACGACTGGATTTCGATTCTTGGTTTTTTTTTCTCGTTTATTTTATTTTACAAATTAAAATAAAATATTTTAAAATTAGTAATTTTGTCTTAATATATTTTTTATTTGTAAATTTTCGTTAGTGGGTTGTAGAAAAAATATACTGTACAACTATACTTGTCCACATCGCACTCCGCCTACGGCGTCGTGCTCAAATTTCGTCTTCGTACGATATGGCCATCATTGTGCAACAAGGTTGGATATGGATACTCGAGTTGTACAGTATATTTTTTTCTACGACCCACTAACGAAAATCTACAAATATTACAAATAATAAAGGGTTGATTTAAAAATGTACAGGGTATGTCGAATAAAATATTAAAAAAACCCTCAATCCTCATGGCAAATGATTTTCGGTCGAATCTGTTGAATTTTATGAATAATGAAGTGTTGTTTACACATACTTATATGTATAACCATATTAGGCGTTAAACTAGTTTTTGAATATGCGGTTTTTCTACTTCAATTTAAAAAATTACTCATCCTATACATATAATTGTTTTCCAAAAGGTTAAAAGGTTGATATTGGTATTGGTAACTTTTTATGTTCATGAATATCAGCAAAGTAACGTTTACGTCTTAAAGTATTTTTGAAAATAATGAGAATTTTCAAGTTCAGCTTGTAGGTATCTCAAAAACTAGTCATAGGATAACTTTGTGACCATGGACACTTTTAATTGGCTCAAAAACAGGAAAATAATATATAATTCACCCGATTCGATGGAAAATCGTTTGTCATCAGAAAACTGCGGGTCCTTTGACTTGAAAATATAAATATATAAATAATTATTAATTTCTGTCCTGCTTCCATTCATATTAACACTTTTATTTTGATTTTTTTCAGGACAGCGTCCCACTTAGAATCAAAAACATCCATATCGTCAACCAACCGTACATTTTCAAAATGGTTTTCGCCCTTTTCAAACCCTTCCTCAGGGAGAAGCTCAGGAATCGTATCATCTTCCACGGCACCGATCGTAAATCCCTGCACCAACACATGGATCCCAAATGCCTGCCAGAATGCTACGGTGGTAGCTTGGACTTGCCCAGGATCGATGGTCCCCAATGGTACGACCTTTTGGTTATGTGTGACAAGGAGTATGTAGGTGAGTAAAATTACCATGATTTTCTTATCACATAAGTGTTAACAAATTTACTTAAAATATGATAATATCTATTCATGCAACCAGTTACTAAATGCCTTAGTTTATGTAATGAGTGAATATTTGCGGAGCGAGTAGAGCGAGGTCTTGCAACATGAACGACTCACATACAATATTTTTCCTAATTTTATCTGGACTATTTATAAAATTGTGTTTTGATAAAACATTACTAAGGTCTAGGCAACCAATATTACTTGATGTAATGTTAGTTGTATATGCATCATTTAATTGACATATCTGTAACATGTGGAGGGTGGGTTACCCCCACGGCACTTAAGCCTCATTAGGCCCATTGTGCATCCTCCTAAGATGATAGGCACCTCCTAGCTCGTGAGCCAGCCTACAGATTTAATGTAGTTGACAACGTCGCCAAGAGGTGCTTCTCTTATATCGGCCGGTGTTAGCCGATACTCGCCGAACACAAATCTTCTAATAAATGAGAGCGTCGATCAATCGTAAAGGATATGCTCGATGGTCTCATCTTCTTTGTTCGCACCCTCTGCAGATTGCGGATTCTGACATCCCCATGATATAGAGATGTTTCCGTACTTAGCAATGATCAGTCAGAATGCCTGTGACTAGGCGCAGATTCTGTCTAGTCATAGTCAAGTATTTGTTTGCTGCTTGTCAGGATAACTTAGGATCTCCCTGGCAACTCAGCAGTTTCTTGTATCATCCTATCTTTACTTGAATTTTACAAGGGGATGTTCTTTAATTAGGTCTGTCACTACCGATTTTGTCAGGCCAAAAGAAGGGCCAGCTCCAAAAAGTATTTGGTTAGCTACTTTCTTGGCTAGTGAATCAGCAAGACGGTCACCTTTCAATGTGGCGTGACCTTTGATCCATCTTAAGGTGACCACATTGTTGATGGATACTTCGGCCAAAGCTTCGTGACATTCTAGTACTAACCCTGAGTAAATTCGTGGACTGTTCAGGGTGGGTAATGCTTGTCTGCTCTCTGTATAGATGAGCATGTTCCTTCCAGTGTTATTGTTCCTGGTTATTTCTTTTGCTGCTATGAGAATCCCGGTTGGCTCTATTTAAACTACACTGACACTATTGCTCACAGCCCATCTTATGTTTAGGTTTAAGAATCTGGAGTATATTCCACATCTTGAGCCTTGTTTTGTTTTAGAACCGTCGGTGTAGATATGAATCGTACCTGCCACTTCTGGCTCTTCTATTTATTCTATTATAACTTTATATGGCTTATGGAAGATATATCTCAGTGAGATGGAGTCCATGTTCGCTTGAAGCAGTGGGAGCGTATGAGGGCCTCCTGCCAAAAGCGACGTCTCGCCTCACCAGATCCTACATCAGGTTCTATTTCAACCGTGCGGAGGCGTGTCATTGTCATCAGAGCAACCTCCTTGATGTAGATATCAAGGGGAGCGAGACTAAGAATGACTTCCATGGCTTTGGTCGGTGTTGTTTTCATGGCTCCTGTTATGTTGAGACATGCTGTTTTTTGAATTTGTTCTAGATTACAGATAGCTGTTAATTTTTGGGTTTTCGGTACCCAGACAACTGCCCCGTATGTTAGCATAGGTCTTATGATAGCCGTGTAAGTTCATGCGACGACTCTAGGGGAGAAACCCCAGGTGCGCCCCACGGTTCGGCGGCATTGTTCATAAGCAATGTATGCTCTTTTAACTCTGTTTTCTAAATGCGAGTTCCATGTTAACTTGATGTCAGAGGTGAGACCTAGGTACTTCACCTCTGTTGCAAAATTCAGTTTTGTGTTTAGGAGTTCTGGAGGTTTTCAATTCCATTTTCATCCTTTTCCTTGTGAAAAGGACCATTTATTGACATATAGAAGAATATCATATTAATTATTTCTTCTTAACGACTTGCAGTGTGTTTAATTTACTTATTAAAGTTGTTTAGTTTTCAAAAAAGTGGGTTACTTTGTCATGTATTGTTTTAAATATTTTATGCTGATTTAGAATAAAAAATAAGGTATAAAACAACATTATTACTAGGTTGTAAGTCTTCTTTGATATAAATCATTAATTCTAATTACTGATTTAAAATCAAAAATTTTTTTTATTTGTTTTCTTTTCTCAACTAGTTACATAATGAATTTTTCTCAGCGTAAAGTAAACAATTTTGACAAAAAATGCCACTTTATATATCATTTAAAAAAAACTAATTTAACTGCAATAATTTCTAAAATCTATAAATATTCTGTAATTGTTATTGTCAAATATTCATTGTTATGTCTTATGTCGCTAATAACCGATTGGTGGATGTAGCTATTTCTTTAATAAAAAAAATATAATTTAGAAAAAATGTATTGGGACACAAAATCTAGACTCTGATACTCTAGGTGATACTCAGGTATTACCAATATGTCCAGGTCTAACGTTTTTAATTTCTAAAACCTGAAATCTGTCGTTTGCTAACAAACTATTTTCACTAGCAATCTCCCTAGACCTTGGGCATTGGATTATTACCGGACATTTTTCCGAGTACAGGATTTTCTTGAACAAAATCGTATACCATACCCACTTCTGCTTCTAATTTATCCTGAAACACCAGTAAGCTTTTGGACTTAAAAACAAACACTTAAATACCTTGGAGATTATTTAGAAGTAATTTTATTGTTAGTGACTACTATTGTCTTTACACCTCTTTGATCCAGTAGACAACCGTTCATTAGTTTATTTTTCGGAATATGGAAGTGTTAAATGAAAGACTTTGAAATGGTAAAAAAACGATCTTGGTCTGAGATGAGATTGTTTGCGATCTCGAATGCCTAATTTAGGAATACTATGAAAATACCAGATATATAATCAAGATAGTGCAACTATATACGATACTAAACAACTGCTTCTTGGTTATATATGTCCGGACATTACATTACCAGTGTTACATACGAGTTAGTCACCGACTGTCAATTACAATTAACACTTTGATTTTGCACTGTACTTATTATATGACTGATTTCACCTTAATTGGGTAACAACAGACAAATTTCTGTGATACCTCTAAATCCATTACTCAATGCTTTCTCATACCAACCTGAATTTATAGAGACCTACTGATTTTCGGTTGATCTCTCACTGCTATTTCATATATATTACAAAATTGCATGACTCTCTGCCTGGAATGCTGAGGTATGTTTGCTGGTATTTCTATTTTTGAATGATATATCTGCTCCATGGCTTTTTCTAGTTTAAATGTATCAGTGTTGAAGGATTAACTCTTGGTTCTCATGACTAGCATATCTTCTGCACTAACCTTTGTGACATGGTCTAGAATTTCGTTTTCCCTAGTGCATTTTCAAGACTACAAACACCTAGTGTTGCTTTCACTTGTATCACAGATGACTTTGTGGAACCAACTTTACATCGTTAATTAAACAAATGCATTTGAATCTTAGATAAAAAAGACCAGAGATATAACATACACCGGTTTTAAACCTGCGCAAATGTTGCCAATTTCTAAAGAAGGGTTAACGGAGTGGGGGAACTGGGCGGCGACACGCGGCGACCCGAACTCTGTGACAGGGACCGGACTTTGTTTATTAGCACCTTAATGAACTATTAGGTTTATTTAAAAGGTGTTTAATCGAATTTTGTATTATGAAATAAAATTAACGTGATTTTTTAATATCAAACAGATGCCACGACATTTTATGTAAAGAGAAGACCTTTTATAGAATATTTCGTTAGCGTTTATTTACTACGGACTTTTCTGCAATAGATTACAGTAAAATGTTGAAATAGAATATATTGTTAATAGAGCAAAAAATGTTACTCATTGTCTACGAGTATTATAAAAATAGCATGTGCGCAGGCTAATACTGCAAATCTACCCTTATGAGTTGAACATTATATTTTTTCTACGGCTATTACATATTATTAAAAATTAGTCAAAATGAGAAAATGCTGTTTTGTATTGTAACCTCAGAAAAAAGTATATTAAGGCTTCTTTCTTTAAGAATATTAATTATTATAAAGGATGAGTCACATAAAACTCTAGAAATGCATATGACTGAAACCAGATAACATTTTAAAATTTAAATCTATTAAAAGTCATTTGGTCGCTAGGGATGAGTGATTATCGAAATAAATTATCGATCATTGAAAATAATCGATAATTTTCGATCAATCGATTATTATCAATAATCTATTTTTATTGTATTTCCTTTAAAATCGATAATTCGATTATCTTTGAAATACCAAAAATAATCAATAATTCCAAAATAATCGCCTAATCGAAAATAACCAATTAATTAAGAAGCCGATTCTATGATAAATCGATTTTCCAAAAAATAAAACAAATTATCTATTATTTTCTAATAATCCTTTTTTCATATTTCCTTTTAATTGAAATTGATTATTCGATTATCGAAAATAATTGATTATTAAAAAGCTGATTATCCAATAAATCGATAATTTTAAAAAATAACCAAAATATCGATTATGTAAAATAACCGATTATATCCAATCGATTATTTTCATATAATATCTTTGAAAAATCGAAAATAATCAAATAATTAAAAAACCGATTAAACGATAAATCGATTATTTTGAATAAATCTACTTTTTTGTATTTCCTTTAAAATCGATTAATACATTATCTTAAAAAAAACGAAAATAATTTATTAAAAAACAGCGGATAAATCGATTTTCATTAAAAAAATATCAGAATTATCGATAAATCGATTATTTTTGTAACCCCTATCGGTCGCTTGTTTTATCTGAGCATTTAGCTCCAAAATTTAGAGATTCAGATTTTTTGATCCAGTTATCTTTAAAATCGCATTCGATTGTATAATAAACAAATATTGCTAAATTTTGGATTTTTTTTAGTAAACGAAAATTATGTTCGAGTTGTTTAGGGGTTTGTAATGTAACATTTTATTAACGTGACTAAGGGTCGATTCCACCGTTGTGTTAAACGAAGTTTAAAATGACATTTTTACATTAACACTGTCATTTTAATCTCCGTTTAACACAACGGTGGAATCGGACCTAACTCCTGTAACTTTAGTATTTTTTTTTGCTTATACTAGATTACTTTGTTTTAAGACTTAAAATTCAATGTCACTTTCGATTTGACCGCAAATAAGATGAACCTTGAAATTTTAAGTAGGTCATCCTGTATTTCATCTAATATTCTTATAAAAATACCGTATAAAAATACCTTATAAAAATAAAATTTAGCTAGCAACTATGATTCTTTACCTCTTATTTATCTACCAAAAAGGGCTAAAAACTACCTATAGAAAACATTCTTATAAAACTACTTTTTAAATACAAAATTTCGTTAGCAATAATGCCTATTTACTATTTATTTAAATTAAATGTTCAAAATTTAACCCTTTTGTAAATTTATGTATTGAAACCCCTTAATGCGGATCTGAAGTATTCAGCCCAGAGAATCATGGCGCTTTATGTCAAAACGTTAATAAATATTTACCGCTGAAAACGAATATATTCATAACAGTAGTACTTGTATTATAAGTACATACAATTTTTTAAGATACATCGTGACATTTTGAACTTGAAATTGAATAACTAGAACACTTTAAATTGCTAAAATACCAACAAATAAATCAAAAAACAGCTGTCAATGGTGATTAAACTCAGGTGGAGGTGATCGCTGAATGGAAATCGGAGCAATTCGGGTGGCGTCGTGCAACAATGATTTTCAATTGGTGGGTTACTTTGGCTTAAAATAGACAACATGCGTAGTGTGCAATGTTACATCTTCGGTCTCTTTAATCTAAGATTTGAATTTAGAAGTTACTCATGTTTTTCTTTTCTTTTTCAGCTATAAATTCTTACGGATACAACAAGAAAGGTGAACTTTAAGAAAATAGACAATTGTGTTCAATCCAGCCATATCACCAGAAATTGGACAAACCTGTAAAATTTATTTATTGTTTTTATACATTTTGATTTTACTGTATTGTTTTTAGCCAGTTATACGCAATAATGTATTTTTTAATTAATGTTGCATCAAGATAAAATGTAATTTTAAAAAGCAATATTTTGTACAATGTTAAAAATATTTTAGATAGGTGGTTGTGGCCTTTTTACTTCTCTTACGGCCCCTTATACAGTTTTATTATTTGATGATGATTATTATCAATATTATAGTAATTATTTTTATCGTTGTTGAAGTATTATTATCTAAGAATTGATTGTGATAAATGTTTTACATCACTTCTGTTGTTACATTTTTTGTACAGTTATAAAAAAAATTATGCTAATTGTAGTTAACGTATTTAAATTATCAATAAAATGACAATTATTTTAAGTGTTGTTTTTATTTTATTTTTAAAAATGACTCCCCTGGATATCTGAGAATGTATTATAACTGTCATAAAAAAAATTAAAACAGGTCAATTTTTATTGAGATGAGGATCTTTCTAGCATATTCTCAAATGTCATACGTCATTACCCTCCAATACGATTAAAATAGCGACGATCATATACCTACCATCTTCCTCCCCCAGATTACCCATCGTCATAATGCCTTCCTTCTATACGCCGATGATACTAATCTGTTCTCAGTAGCCCAAAATTCTGACCAACTAAAAATCCGAACGTAAAATCTGCTGGACCAGTATACTCGCTGATGCGGCAGATGGAGGGTCTCACTCAATCTCAAAAAAACCCAATTTTACGTTTTCAAACACTCCAACTACCACAAACTCCTAGACATAAACATTGATCTCCGGTGAGTCGGGCTTGTAAAACTGACTGAAGTTGATTACCTGGGGTTAGATTTACTCACACCCTCAATTGGTCCTCTAATTTCCAACACATCCTCGACAGGATTCGTCGGCGAGCTGGATTCCTCTGAGCTCTATAAGGTCGTTTTGACCACTGCAACCCAGAAATACTTATCCATAACTACATTGCATACATCCGTCCCGTTGCTGAGTACAGATCAGTACTATATGGCACATTTGTTCCTCATCTAGTCCACAAATTTACCACACTGGAAAGACGCTTGCTTGTCAATATCTACATTTTCGTTTTTCTAGTAGAGAAGTCTACGAACACATCAACAACATCTACATCTCAGCCCGTTTCAAACAATACGTTTCTCGAACTCTTAAAGGCTCCAATGCCTTCGCCCAACACACAGGAGCGCATATACATGGGGGGTAATAACCCCCTAATTATTATTCAAACTCGAGTTCAAAATAGTCTTAAATATTACCACTACCCCCCCCCCCCTGACTTAAACTTTATTGCCACTTTTCCTCCAGATTTAAATTCTGGATGCGTCACTACCAGCACCCCATACAAACTGCTTGGGGTCCAAATTGTCCCCTGTTCCAAAAACCCAAACGAAAAGAACTCCAACCAAACGTCCAACTTCTTACATATCACGAAGTCCAATCACTAAACCTCCTACTCCCTGAAATTTTCCAGAACTTACTAGACTCAGTCCCCTATATATCAGTTAGAACCCACACAACCCAAAAATTTGCATTGCCATAAGAACCAACTTGTACAGAATTAGGTTAGGTTAGTTAGTTTTTCATGGTTTTCCTAAATCGTATTTTTCACTTAATCTCGGACTTACAGCAATTATTATTGAAAACAAAAATTGCCTCACAGATCTCACGTGTCAAAACACTATTGTAATTAGGACACACCACCCTAAAAAGGAGCCTAACTCCTACAGCAGAGTATCAGGTAAGTATGTTCTATTAATTGTAAACAAAAACCTTAGGAAATTAAATATTATAATAATAATAATAATTTATTTACAAAATAACAGTAAATACAATTTGAAATATTACAATATTATCTAGTAAATAAATAATAAAGCTAAAGGATATCTAGATCCTGTACAGCTGGCTAAAATATTTGAGTATATATTAAAATATATTTATAATAATTAAAAGTTATTTTTTTTTTATTATTATATTTTGGTAACAGTTAACCTTTGTGACGACCAACTATAAGGAAAACCTGTCTGAAGTTGAGCGAATTAGGATCAACTGTAATACCCTACGTATAACTTTTTAATAATTTTTTTTTTGTATATATTTTTTGTTTTAGAACAGTAATATTAAATAATAATAATAATAATAATAATAACACATTAAGAATAATGACCATAATAAAAGTAATAATTATAATAATAATAGTAAGAATAATAATAATAATAACAATAATAATAATAATAATAATAATAATGATAATAATAATATTTCATTAATAATAATAATTTTCAATCATTGCAAGTATAATTTGGCGTGGAAATTGTAAAACCCATTTTTTTATTAATTTTTTGTATAGATTTTTTGAATGAATTTGTTTTATCTCAATTGGCAATTTATTATATAGTTTAGGACCTATGTACCAAAAACTTCGTTGAGTGTTGGATTTCAATACTTTGGGTAAGACATATGTATAACTTTTTGAACGGGTATTATAATTGTATTCATTTTTTTTTCAATTCGCCTTTATTGAAATGCTGCCTTATTAATAGATTCTGACAAAACAAACAAATAAAATAAACTGAATCCTGGTCGCATTTTGGTCCATTATAGCTTTATATTGCTTTGTCAATTATTGTTTATAAATCCAATAATCTTCTAAACTTCAAAAGCTCGTAACCTTACACAACGTCCTACACCTTTATTTTGAACTGTTTGCGCCATCTTTCGAAACCTCATAAAATCAATCACATTTGTAAAAAATCTTCTAAGTACGCAGTTTGGTCCTTTTCAAATAAAAATAAGTCCTACATTAATTTTAAGTTTTAGGTACACGCTCACTCAAGATAAATTTATGCTGGGTAACTCATTTAATATACAGATTAGGAAAAAATTATGCGAGCCATACATTGTAGTTACGCTCATCTCTATTAATTATAACATGCAGTATCGTATTACGTCGGAGAGGGTCGTAATCGAATCGGTCAACATGTACCAACGACGAATAACTAACATACTAATTTTGTTTACAAAAATCGAATTGCAAACATTCACAATGTCATCCACGTAGTTGTCAAATTACTATGATAGAGTATGGGAGAGTCTATTTACAACGATTGTTTATGGTTATAATTTGGAATTGACTTAAAATAGGACTCTTAAGCACACAAAAGACTTTCAAACGTTTATTTACATTCTTAATGCCAGTTATTATCAGTTTAATGTATTTTTATTATTGCAACTTTTAAGGCGGGTACAGATCTGAGCACGTACGCGTATAAGGCAAGCCGAGGCCGAACCGAATGCCTCGTGCGGTGCATTTTGTACATAAGAATGGTAGACGCACGAGGCACTGTTCGCTATTGATCCAGTGAATTCGTGAGCATGGAACCCTACACCCAGAACACAAAAATGGAGGTCTGGTGGTTGAGTGCCTGTTATATTATTTAGTCTTGCTCTGCATAAAATATCTCACTGATTATATACATCCAGGAGAACAAAACCTTTTCATGCAAAATAAACCTTGAAAACTCGCTATAATCTATTCGGTACAAAATTTCCCATCCAGACTGAGCACGTACTGCGCATTGCCTCCCTTTGATGTACCGCCAACAAACGGATCGTGGCGAGGCCATACGGTGCAATTTGGCGCGCCTAGAAAGCTCATTACCATCTGCATGCTCATGAGTCCTCGGCATGCCTCATACGCGTACGTGCTCAGATCTGTACCCACCTTTATAGTTGTGCAGTGTTTTTGAAGAGTAACAGCAGTGTAATGCAAGCGTAGTAGACGTAAATACTGATTCATTCATATAACGCATGCTCGCTTCTCAAATAAACGTACTGACACAAATCATCCCCACTCAAATTAGCAGCTGTCTCCTCCTTTCTGATGCGTCATTCGATGCGATAGAAGAGTAGCTAATTCTGAACATCTTCTCCAAATTTCGTAAATTTAATTTTTGGAAGGAGTATTTTACTTTGAAATGATGAATTAGATTTAATTCTACTAGCTCTAACGGTTTTTTGTACCTATTTACATATTTTTCTACCTTAAATTGTAGAGTATTAAATTGACAGTGATATTGAATAGCTTTTGCCATCTCACCATCAATGTCGATATCGTCTGAATCATTTTCTAACAGGAAATTGATGAAGAGCTTCTTGTCGAGTGCAGATATTGCTTAAATTTTTTGTTCAATAAGCTTCAGGTATCCTTGAACTTCGGTGATATCATGTTGTTCCAGCGGAAACTGATTCATGACGGCTTCATATACTTTCCCGAAAGACGTTCTTTGTAGATCTAGCGCCTTAATCAGCTTTTCGATACCATTAACACCGTGTCGTGCCACCAGGGCCGTAGCCAGAGGGGGCACATAGGGGCAATGCCCTACCTTAAAACATCAATGGCCTTCCTTATAAGTAGCTAGTTGGTATTACACATCACAAAATACGCCTCAAAGTCATCATTATTATTCATGGTAAGCAACACAGGCAACTTGCTACGTGTAAACTGGTTATATACCATTATTGATATCTTGCAATTGCGTCCCTCGTCACCAATTGTCATCAAACACATTCAGATTTGTGTCCTGCACGTGCTATCGTGCTTTTTCTGGCTTTGATTTTGTAATCTTTTACTTATTAGGAATTGTGTAACTGACAACTACTACGTAAATCAAGGTAGTTTGAAAAACTTCTCGAGGAAGTTGAACAAGCAGGACCTTTGGCAGGTGTTGGAATTGCTGATGATATAGCTCAAATTTAAAAATACCAACAAAAAGGGAAACCTGCACAGATACATATAATCTCTTTGCATTAGTGGCAATATTCGGCTATTTTGGCTGCAGCACTGCTTCATGCGGATCTACCTTTTCGACGTTAACTGTGATAAACAAGCCCCAAAGAATGCCAATGGCTCAAGAGAGAATGACATGTCTTGGGTTTGAAAATACACAATTTCAGCACTAGTAAATAAAATAATTATAATTATTTAAAATAGTATTTATTAATAAAAAATAAAAAAAGAATTTACTCCCTTTTTCAAATATATATCTGATGTGTAATACCTATCACTTAAATTATGCGAAATAAAGACTCTCTAAAAAAATTACACTATTTTCTACAAAAAACTTTTACGTATTTTTCAGGTGACGACAGTCTGCTGAATAGGAATCGTTGTTTTCGATAAAAACGCGCTAAAAAGGTTATTCAGAATAGTAACATTAGCGCCATCTTATCGGCAGGTTTTTGACATAATACTATAGGACCTTAATTCAAATAAAATATGATTCTTTTACGGTAGAATTCTGTATTAATGTACAAATTTGCATTTTTGAAAATATGTCACTATTCT